GGAAAAAACGAAAATTTCGCAAAATCTGAAGGGGTACCCCTTGGAAAAATCTCGGAAAAATCGAAAATTTTTTTTTTGTTGTTTATTATTAGCAATGTTCTTCCGACGTCTGATTTGTTTTTAAAAAATGCGTTTCTAAAGTGCATAAACTTTTGGGATTGACTGTATAGCCAATACATCCTTAAATTCGACATTCGTTTCTTATTACATTTATTGTACGAATGTTTCGATGGAAATGAGCATGGGCTCGAGAACTCCGCGCGTGGAATAATAATTGAGGAAGACCTACCCGAGCCCTGAAACGTTAAGAAACCAAGTACCACTGAAACAGTTTCTTCGAGTACAAGGGGCGTTTACCCCTTTGACAGAGAATTTCCGTAAGTTCGACTCGAGTATAGCTTCTCATATTTATTCTTTCGAAACGTTGTTTGTGAATCTCACGATTTCCATATGTATCTTGCAGACTAATCGAGTGTGACGTGAAGAATAAGTAAAGGCTCGAAGCACGAGGCCAAAGACTTTGTCCCGATCGATTTAAATCGCAGTTTAGTTAGTTCAGAGACGTGAAATTGGTTAGATTCCGGTCAGAGGTAATGAAGGCGTAGCAATTTCGACCAGCCGGCTCCCGGGAGACGGAAATCTTCGGTTCTGTTAATGATTAAGTTAACCCTTTGAGCGAGTAACCGACACCTTTGATTGGTAATTACTTGTTCGTTTAACAAGAACCGGGGCGTCGGCGAGGGACAGGGTGAGGGCGCGGGCCAGAAAGATGTTTGTAGACGGAAATGTCACTTCTGAATGCATTTCGGTGGCTTCGTTCGCGACGACGAGGCGTTCTACCGCCGCTCGAGTGCCGCGTTGATGTATGTAATACCTGTACGACTTCCACCTACGCCCCGAACTGGTTTTGTGCGGAACAGAGTGGTTAGTCGATTATATTTTGCCGCGGCATTATCTCGATAGAACCGTTTTTCGAATGTCGAAAAACGTTCACCGCAGATTCTTACGCATAATGAAACGTTTGTGAATTCAAGATGATTCGATCGTCTCGACGTGCATGGAACTTCTCGTGTTGAACGTACTGGCAAGAAAGCTTGCGCTTTTTCGACACGGTGACGAATTCCTCGGAGGTGTCGGTGGCTTGGCCGTGGCTCGGTGTGGTCGAGGTGCTACGCTGGTGGTGATGATGGTGGTGATGATGGTGTTGACGGTAGTGATGGCCGGGGGCGGGCGCCTGCTCGGGGACCATCGTGGAGGGTGTCTCCATGTGCGGGGGCGGTTCAGCCCCCGTTACGACCTGCGGGGTGGTTTCGTTGGTGGTGGTCGGGGTGGCGATGGTAAGGGTGGTCGCGCCAGTGGTGCTCGGGGCGGCGGTGGTTCCGTTGTTGCTGTTGCTGGCGGGGGTTGGAGTCAGGCTGAGACCTTCGCCACCCCCCGCCGAGGCGCCGGTTACTTTTCCCACCCCCGATCCCGTACCTATATCGCCGAAGTAAACCGTGGGACACGAACTTCTGTAATGACAACAAAATCGACCGATTTCTAATCATTGTAACAAAAGGAATGTTTCATCTGTGGAATTAATAGTCAGTTTTCGATCGAATTTGGTATACCGTTGGACGAAGCTTTTAAAAAGGCGTGACTGACTTCTCAGAAAGTGAGGGTACTTAAGAAACCAGTCATTAAATAATTTATTTTTGCGTCTCATGAGGAGTTAATCACTTCTTGCCAAGTTTGGATATAAAACCGGTAGCGAGGTGTTTGCCTGTTGATAAACAAGATGCAAATCTGCAACCAGTTTTAGTACAATAAAGAAGGAATCCAGGCACGTAGCATACACAACGCAGATATTTGATTAATGCAATTTTTACAGCGACAGGATTTAACGCAAACTGGTTTTTCGCTTACAAGTGCCTTTTCATGTTCTCGATTAATTGACACGCTCAAACGTTATTTCGAGAACTATTGTAAACCAGCTAATCATAATTTGGATACCGTCGAATCGTCGTCGACGATGTTCGAACCTGATTCCTGGCTCGCGTCTTACAAATTCGTTGGATGAAAATTAATTGACACGAAACGGAGTCGTTTCCGAGAAACTCGTTCCAAAGGTTTCAGCCGATATGTCAAAGAAAACGTCACCAAGTACATAATTATTACGTAAGCGTGACACTTGCGGCAACGATTATCCTATCTTTTAATTGCGCTCTGATCACGATTACGATTCTATGAGAATGATTTTTCTTTCTCTTACCGCTTATCGTGCATTATACAAACAAAAAAGATAATGATTTAATTTTAGCAAGAAATATCGGGACATAAATAATTGCAACGGTTCACGTGAAACTATGAACAAAATGTCAATGCGGTCACGTAACGCGTAACTGATTGAAAAATATTTCCGAAGGTTCATTAGACTCAGATTACATCGACTAAAATTTTCTCGAAACTGATACCGCCGGTAAATAGCAACCGAGATCATGCACGATGGCGAAAGAATCGAACGTGCCAGCAGCAGCCAGACCGATCTGCAATAAAATGTATGCTCGTTCCTCGATACATTTTTTTCTTCTATGAACGATACCAACCCATTTCCTTACAATGTTCCCTTCACGGTTCACCGGGTATCGAGTTTTTCTTCACAATACTTCTACTCACTGTTTCTCGGTGCACGCGTAAGAGCTGATAACGCGGTTTTTCTTCGACGGTTTATCGTTTATGTTCTACTATAATTACAGCGCCTTCGAATTATTTAATAGTGGTATTAGATTCGAAAATTGCAGCATCGTTGCACCACGGTATCTACCGTGTGTTATGTAATTTATAGTTATATCAGAATTAGTACAGGTAATAATCGCGAATACCTTGTTATTGGCGTCTCCTGTTCGATAGAAGAACAAGACCTAGTTCTTCCGTTTCACAATTTCATACGAATGCTTTCAAACGATATTCCTTTTCCTTATCAACTTTACGTAACGTATCCTCTTTGCTACAAAACGTGTCAATTTTTATATCACATCGAACGATGTAAAAATAAAATCGTAAGAAGACGTCTTTATTAGTTTCCCGGAAACGTGTAACGATTTGTTGTTTTCAATTACGGTTTGTAATGGCGGCGACGATTTCGAGAACGACTTTCCGACTTAAAGATGTGACGAAGGTCGCATGCACACATACTATCTAAGCGAGCCGCCGAGTATGAGTAGTTCCGTATATTATGATGTAACCCACACGATTAGCGTAATTCTATTTATTCATAGATACGTCAGTGCACGCGACGTTCCTGGTATCACGCTCCACACGTATGCACACACCGAGAAGCATTACGCCTTTTGCAACGGTGGCAAAATTTACGTGCCATGCTTCCTCGCGTCTCGAGACCGAAGATCATGTTTTTTGCATGAGAAGAAACATTATTTCTTTTTCTCTTTTAATTAACCGCCGTCAACAGCGATCATTCATGATTTAAATTCGCCTGATTTTATAGATTTAAATTCGCGCGATTTTATAGATTTAAATTCGCGCGATTTTATAGATTTAAATTCGCGCGATTTTATAGATTTAAATTCGCGCGATTTTATAGATTTAAATTCCCTTTCTATATTTTTTATAAATTAAAGAATGATAGATTAATATTCTTTCCTATTTATTTTCGATGAGCGACGGAGCAGACCTTCTGTCGAAATACCTTGAGAAGAAATCTATTGACCAGTCGCGAAAACGTAATTTAAAAGGAACTTCAGTGAAACCGCAAAGAGTTGGCGATATCGGTCCGTCTCTGATTCCTCTATTAAGAGAATATTCAATCGCGTACATCTCCCGTACGTCATCGGATTAAGAAATGTGCACGTACGAGCCGTTACGTAATCCTACGAAGATTGTGGGAAGAACTTTAGCTACTGCATTTCATCCATGTTTTTCCTGATCGTGAAACTCGGCACGATATTGGCGTTCACTGCTCGATCAATTTATTGTTTTTCCATTGTCCGTTTTTCTTCCATACTTTCCCTTTACATAATGTTATTACGGTCATTTTCGTATTACGTGTTTCGTAGCTGGAACGCTGCGACGTGCATCTTTTATTTGCTCATCGTTACTCGTGCTGGTAATTAAACGATTGCATTGTTGCGGCATCGTCATAAACCGTAATAACGGAGGAATGACTTGGTCTCGCGTTTAATCGAGCCGGTGACTTTTACCGAGGAAAATTTCTCAAACTAATCCCCATCGACATTTCCATGTTTTCACAATCTGTACGCAATCGACCGATTAGACGTACGAGAAAAATTCGCACGTGCTGGAGAAAATCGAAGAAGCACCCATGTGTGCTCGTCGGTAACCCGTGCCATTTACCTGTCAGCACGTGAACTTCGGGCATATTTGATCTTTTACGCCACGAGATCATCATTCATCCCAATGAATAATTGCAGAATTAACAGCGACGTCCTCCCTCTCGAGGGAATACAAAAAACCGGATTAATAGTATGCTAAAACTTAGCCACGTGTACTCGTGTTTTATCAAATTGTAATTCTTCATAATTCCCAAAACTTTTAAAATCCTTCCTTCGATGCATCGTGCAGGATTTGTTCAATACGAACGAGTTCAGAAGCGAAGAAAGTCAGCCGTAGGGCAGTGCATTGCGCCACACGGCAGTTTTCTCCAGCTAAACTTGGAAGCGTGTGTACGCGAGCAATTATTATTAAAAGACCGTTCGATGTCTGGCGGCGCGGAAAGACTCGTTCGATTTTCTTGCGTTACGTATCGATCTTGAAACACGCCGACGTTGATATCTATCCATCGGATCATTTTAACAATTTCTGAGTTTCACCTTTATGGTTGAAAGAGCGTTTCTTTGAGGCTAGTAAAATATACAGGCTGTGAATTCTATTTTATGATCGATGCATTATGCTCTAAAAGAATTATCGAATGGATGAAAATCGTCTTTCATTGATGTTTTGGATTTTGCAGAAATAAGATTAAAATTCGTGATCAATGATAGCCGAGTGTAGTCTCTTCGAGCGGGTAGTTAGCGACAATTACGCGGAGATCCTGAAGCAGGAATGTCCAATGGAAATTGCGAGGACTAATGAGGTCACGTGCCGATTCAAGGCTAGCCAATAAACAGGAATAATCGTCTTATTACATTGTACGCGTTACATCATAATCCTGAACCATTTTTTCCTATCGACTCGCCGCTCAGCTCATCGATCTCATCGCAATTACCATCAATAAAAAGCAACGACATTGAAAAAAACATCGAATCGACAGAGGCAACGAGAAACGAATTTTAACATTGAACTTTGAAAGGTGTTCTCCGTCGCAAAGACGAGGAGGACTCCCAAGTGAATTACGGCCGAGTTTCTTCTCAACGACGACGCCCGGTTGATCGTGTAACAAAGGACAACTCAAGAGACATGAACGCATTGGTTTATTTTCACTTACTCTTGAACAGCCGACAGATTATAGTAACTCCGTTGTTGCTGGTGATAGAGCTGGGCGCCAGACACCTGGCCCCCGCGATGCTCGTCGTGGACGTGATGCTCTTGATGGATCCGAGGCTGAAGCTCCTCCAACGAGATGAACTCCTGAGGTTCCTGTCCCGGATGGAGGAGCTGCGTGTAACTCTGTGCCATTTCTTGGGCCACCATCTCCTGTTCCGGTGGTCCACGAAAGCACAGCAGATCTTCCAGCTCCTCCCCCCGACGTTGCTGATACTGTTGCTGTTGCTGCTGTTGCTGCCGAGACTGTTCTTGACGCTGGTAACGCTGGCTAACCGGCTGATGTTGATGGACGGCACTCACGCAGGTGCCATCGCCGACCACAACGTCGTTCTCCACGACACCACCGCTATCTGGCAGTAATCCACCCTCGTCTGAGGAAACCGTCGTTTCGTTTACCACGCGGGATCGATCACGCGATTTAATTCGGTTGCAACGCGCGAACGAGTCCAAGACGAAACTAATTTTCTTACATTCCAGCCGGACATGACTTTCGAGCCGGAGTTTCATGCTCGGTGATCAATCGGAAACGAGCGGATGAATTCATTTAATAAACTGCGAATCATTCTCATTGTAAACGAAGTAAAAGAGTAATTGTAACGATAGAATAATCATCGATGTGGCACTAATCAACCGGGACTTATCACAGATTGTGTACCGAGCTCTTTCTTAGAATCACTGAGAGATTTCGCGTATTACGAGACTTGATAAGATCCGCAATTATGATACACCAGACAGGTAATTATTCATCAGCGCCAGGATGGAAAAGACGACTTTCTAACCCGTTGACCTCGTATTTAAAATTTTCATCGATTCATGATAAATGTGCTTATCGTCACCGGATTTGTCGTCGTGGCGGACGCAGACGTGTTAATGAAAAATTAACGATTCGATGTATGCTACGCGCGACATTGTCAGTCGCGACCACTTACACGTGTTTTTTCATACACGTTCTATGTTACTAATGAAAGTGAAATGAACAAAGCGTCATGTCTAAATGATCGTTCGAGTGAAAACGAGTTACCGTGAAACGGCTAGTGGATTATTGAAAAATAGAAGCAATTAAACTGGAGCATAATGCGTGTCAGCGCTTTATTACCAACAACAAAAAATATCGATACCGTACCGGCAGTCTTACAATCACGCAATTATGTAAAAGTAATTATAGGAGTGCAAAAATATCGCTGAAAGCTACGCGCGGCTTAATTCGAAAATCGATGCGAGACAATGACACTATTCTTGACGAAAATAAGCTTGAATCTGGCAGTGCCTTCAGCGGATTAAAAGGGTTAATAAAAACAGGTTTAGAGTCGAAAGAGTAGAATAGGAGAATTCTTACGTAATAATTTTTATGTAGAAAGAAAGCCGTTGTGTTGACCTTAATAACTTTCAATGAAAATCTACCGTAGAAGACGACTGGGTAATTAATTGTTCGACTATTTTGCGCAAGCATCTAATCCTAATGGTATTTGAGAGTTTAATCCACATGTGCCGAACGAATCGAAGAACACGAAAACCTGATCCACTCCTTTGATCAATGAAAATTTCTCGAGGTAATTAAATTTCCACGGTGTCCCGTGATTATGCGAAGACAACGGTATCGGAATAATTAGCTGGCGGTCGGGTAATATATTGGCCCATGGCGAATGGTACGACCATTAATTGCGCATTGCCGGCTGACAGACAATTTCGTATTTTTATGATATTTCCGCGCACGTGTTCTAAACGTTGCGAGAGCGCACTGACCCTAAGAATCTCTCGACGATGCGCGATGTTATAATACTCAACGCTGTCTCCGTTCTTTCTCATTCACTCTACTTGGCACGTGTCTCGAGAAACTCAACGAAGTTTTCAGAAAACTTGCACAAACGTGATGCAAATGAGAATGAACGTACGTAGTAACGTAGTATTTTGTCTAATAAGAGACTGTCGTACGGTCAAGGATCGTTTAAAAATATTTCCAATTCTGATCTCGCGTAGCCGAGGCTCTCCACGCGGGGAAAGCAGCGTTCGAATTATGTAACAAAAAATTATACCGTCAGGCGGGAATCGGTAAAATAGCGAAAGTCGATCGGTTAAGGAGAAACGAGATCAATCGATCGACGTTCGTGTATAAATTAAAATCTGTCGAGCCAAAATGTTCTGTACGAGATCATTAAAGATCGCGGGTTGCGTAACGCTAAATTCATTCAGCGCATTAAGATCGTGAATCAACAATAATAATCATCCCTTGGCTGGGAATTATGATCTCGTAATGACCAGTATCGTAAGCAAAATGCATTAGGAACGAATTACTTCTTCATTCTAATAAGAGATTCGCGTCGTTACAAATATTACTCTAAATATTGGTCGTTTCAGGTAATTTATAATTTCGCATTTAAAGAAACGCACTCGCTTATTAAATTACACTTACTAACGAGTGGCGTGATTACGAGGTTGTCTTTTAAGGGAAACTTTAGTGGAATTGAAATTGGAATACGCAGATGGATGTTTAATTAATACGTCATGTAACAACAGAAAAATAACGGAAATGGAACGTGCGTAGAATTGTAACGCTTTAACCCTTTATCTGCGTTCGTATTATCAACGCAGGATTAATTTATCAAGCGCGTCAAACTGAAAACAATTAATGAATGTCACATTATCGCACAGTTGTTTTTTAAGGATGTATTGGCTATACAGTCAATCCCAAAAGTTGATGCACTTTAGAAACGCATTTTTTAAAAAGAAATCAGACGTCGGAAGAATATTGCTAATAAAAAA